AGAAATTATACCACCTGAATCTCAAGTAAATTATACAAAAAATATTTATTTTCTTATGAAAAAATTTGTTTTTAGCCGAAAGATACTATTAATAATGAAACTAGTCTTTCAAAAAATCCAATTATTGAAGTAGATCTTATAGAAAATAATTCCTTAGTAAATGGTAATAATGACATTCCAACAACGATTGATAATCACAATAATAATAAACAGATACAATCGGACAGTACACTGGAACAAAAACATCGTCTATCAAATGGTGAAAACATGCCACCAGATCTATCAGCGGTCAAAGAAGACGATCATAAAAAGATCGAAACATCTAATAAGTAAGTCAACACATCTACAGAAGAACTTTGAAAGATTTTCGACGATAAAATAAGTGTATATTTACACAAATTTGTTCGATATGCAACTAAAGAGGCAAGAAAATAAATAAATTTTGTATTTTTAGTGTAACAACTAAACCTCCACCAGTGCCTATATTAACGTCATCAAACAATGTACCGAAACCACCACCATTACCCTCTTTTGTTTCGAATACTACTCCTACTACTACGACGAACACGACTTCTAAGATTCCAGTAGTAATTACTACTCAATTTCAATCTCGTACGTTATCTGAATCAAAAGAATCTTCACCACCAATGTCTATTCAACGAGTATCTCCAACTTCTTCAATAATAAATGAACAAAATAAACAACCAACAATTACTATTGAACGAATACCTTCGTTTTCAGAAAGACCAAATGAAATATTTCCAACTCGTAAAGGCGCTAATATTGAAATAGGTCGTCTTGAAATCGAAGATTTAGCTCGAAGAGAATTAGATAATAGATGCGAGTTATATTATCAAGATTTACTCGAAGAAATTATTCAATCAGATTTTGAGAAACCATCGATTCCAGAAGTTATACTTTCTGTTATAACTGATCTAACAGCTGATGATGTTGATGATGATGATGATATTGAACAAACGTGTGAAGAAGAAATTGAATTTGAAACTGACAATATCGATTCGATATATTATTTTAAACAAGATAAACCACGTTTAAATTCATCACCTATGCTCAACACAAACAATGAGATTGATTATTATTATACATGCGTACGTCAAGCCGTAGAAAATGGAAATGATCATGATACAATACGAAGTATAAATAATTCAGATCAAATTATTCCTATCATATCAAATACTGATCCAACATCAAATTCTTTACAAGTATATATTTATATTTACAATATTATTATTTTATTTAAAAAAATATCTTTAGACTCGAGAAACACGTCGTCGAACAATACGAACAACAAGAAGATTTGTCGGACCTGATGGTAAAGAAAAAGAAACTATTACAACAAAAATTGTAGAGCCACATGATGATTATCAATCAAGATTGATTGAAAGGTAAAGTTTTTGCTTCCATAAGATATTCAGAAGTAATATACTAAGTTTATCGAATGAAAGAAAAGACATAGAATTTACTATTGAAATCTCAGTTCACTATTTCCTATACTTGTTATTCTCTTTCTCATAGAGAAAAGTCCAGTAAGAATAAACTGTCTGCTTGCTTGTATGTCCGCAGGGTCAAAAAAACATCGAAAATCAATTTTTCAAAAAAGATATTTCTAGAGGTATTTTGATGCGTGAAGTTCGAATCTGAGGTGTGTTGGTTGGCCATAGTGAGAGGGGGGGGGGGGGGGGG